GATGGGGCATTTTTCTCACTCAATCTGCCACAGTGTGTGTGTGTGTGTGTGTGTGTGTTTGTCTGTGTCTATGTGTGTGCTTATGTGTCTCTGTGTGTATGTGTGCTTGTGCATGTGTGTGTATCTGTGTGTATCTGTGTGTGTCTGTGTTTGTGTGTGTGTTTTAGTTAGTGTTTTACTACTGTGAACAGACACCAAGACCAAGACAACTCTTAGACAACATTTAACTGGGGCTGGCTTACAGGTTCAGAAGTACAGTCCAGTCCATTATCATCAAGGTGGGAACATGGCAGCATCCAGGAGCTGAGAGTTCTACATCTTCTTCCTTTTTTTTTTTTTTGGTTATTTTTGAGACAGGGTTTCTCTGTGTAGCCCTGGCTGTCCTGGAACTCACTCTGTAGACCAGGCTGTCCTTGAACTCAGAAATCCGCTGGCCTCTGCTTCCCAAGTGTTGGGATTAAAGGCATGTGCCACCATTGCCTGGCGACACCTTCATCTGAAGGCTGCTAGCAGAATACTGCTTCCAGGCAGCTAGGATGAGAGTCTTAAAGCCCACACCCACAGTGACACACCTACTCCAACAAGGCCACACCTCCTAATAGTGCCACTCCCTGGGCCATGCATATCAAACCACCACAGTTATGTGTGTCTCTGTGTGCCTGTGTGCCTGTGTGCATCTGTGTGTATGTATGTGTATGTATATGTATGTGTGTGTATCTGTGCGTGTGTGTGTGTGTGTGTGTGTCTGTATGTTGTTCTCTATCTTGTGATGAAAAGTTTGGAAGCAAATGTAACAAACCTTTTATAAATAAGCTATTTAGGGCTAGAACATTGAACATTGTCCCTCGTTCACTTAATACAGTGGTTCTTAATGTTCCTAATGCATGACCCTTTAATAGAGTTCCTCATGTTATGGTGACCCCCGACCATAAAATCATTTTATTGCTACTTCATAAATGTAATTTTGCTACTGTTATGAATCATAGTGTAAATATCTGATATGTGATCTCTGTGAAAGGGTCATTTGACCTCATAAGGGTCGAGGCCCACAGGTTGAGAACCATTGATTTAATATATAAATGAGCTCAAAAGGCCACAGTGAGTAAAACCTAGAACTCAGAACGCAGCTCAGAAGTCTCAGTGGGGCTTGTACCTCTCCTTAATTCACAGGGGTGACATGCTGCCTGGGATTCAGCATGCTGAGGGGTTTCCAAAGCATCACGGACTTTCCCAGTGTGAAGGTCTCCTCACGCTGGTTGGCTTTCAGACATCAAACTTTAAGAGCTCCAAAGATAAACATTTTGAATTTGTTTCAATATTATGATTTTTAATTTTCCACTCTGATTAACATCTTTCAAGCATTAAAGTATATAGCTCCTCGGTGCCTGCAGTCTTGGGTTGAACCATTTGGAAGCTGGCATTCACTTGTGCTCTCTCAGCAAAGCTAGTATTCAACTATATTACTGGTAGCTGAGGAGCTTGGTTCCCCCAATATATTCTAATACCCCAAAATAATTTTCATTAAATGAGGTTTTTTTCTCTCTCTCTCTTTCTTTCTTTCTTTTTTTTTTTTTTTTTAAGGAGTTATAATGAGAGCAAATTTGCTAGTAATTAGATGAGCCAGTCATGGCTTCCAGCACTTTCCAAGCTTGGAATTCACCAGAACCCTCATAGCATTAATTAAAAAGAATTTATGTTTTTTTAATAAAATGCTTCATGTTTTAGCTCCTTTATTCCTGCACCAAATGTGATTATGTGGAGACTGAAGGGAATTCAGGTTAATATGTTGACACACTTAACAATGCAGGGTCATGGTGCACAATACGCTTCGCTGGTTTGGATCAGCACACCCCCTGACAGGGCCTAATCATCCTGTGCCCTAAAGGCAGAGGGAAAGAGAGGATTTTAATTACTGCTCTGTATGCAAGTTTGCCAGCATTAAATTGAGACATAATTAGGCCTCTGAATTTTAATAATTGTCCTAGCTAATTGGGCAGACAAGTACGTTATGCGGCATGCCGTGATTAGGTAATTAGTATTTCCAAATGACAAAATTGGGCTCTTGATTACAAATTCTACATGAAGGGGGAAGGTAGTGAGCAGATCTTTACAAGTCTATTAAGGGAGAGTTTAGCGATGGTGGTAATTTTGTGTTCATCAGGAAGCTGAGTCTCACTCTCAGAGCAGAGTGTCTGGGACAAGGGCCTCTGGCCTGTGCTGCCTTCCGCTGTGGCTGCTTCCCAGAATGCTCTTCTTTGCATCCTAAAGGCTCTCCCCTCTCCCCAGCTTAGTAGCTGTTACAGACCTTGGCTAAAGCGATGTGGGTGTATAGCATGTGATAACTCAGTAAAAGAAATCCTAGAACTTAGAAAGAAAGTAGAGGAAACATTCCCAGGTCAGGGGATTTCCACTGACGCTTTCTCTTGCAAGTAGCTGTTTAACAGTTTATCCATTCATTCTCAGACCCCCACCCCAACACAGAAGAAAGTCATCCCAGGCTGGCTGGGAACTCACTATGTTGTCCAGACTGACTACTAACTCGGCGTTCCTCCTGCCTCAGCCTCCCAGTTTCTTATTTACACTTCATCCAGAATTCACCTTCCTCCTTTTATCCTTATCCCACTAAAATAGTTTGGCAAAAACAAAACAAAACAAACAAACAAAAACCCAAACAAACAGACAAACAAACAAACAAACCAAAAAAAAACTACATCAAAATTTTAAAAATTTGCCAGGCAGTACATATCTATAATCTCAGCACTGAAAAGGATGAGGCAGGAGGATCACTTAAGTTGGAGGCCCTTAACTCAAGAAAAAAAAAAAAAAGATCAATCAATCACCATTACCATTTTACATTTTTAGGATATTTTATTATTGGGGTGAGGACATTCAAGACTATCAGGGTTTGGATACTCCAAAAGCATTGTTTCAAAGGCCTGCTCCTGCAGTCATGGTAACAGGTGACTGCCTTCGGAGGGTGGTAGGGACTATATCTTTCAGTACTGGAGTGGAGTATTAGGATGTGGGACTGAGCTGGAGGAAGGATGTCACCAGGCATGCCTTTGAAAAGCACCCAAGTATCTCTTCCTGACCACCATGAACTAGGCTGCTCTCCTGTGCAGCCTGGCTTCCGGCCAACAGCAGTGGAGCCCGGGCAACCCTCTGAGGCTTAGGACAAAAAGAAACATTTCTAACCCTCTGTGGCTATGAATGGTAAGAAACATTTTCTCCCTAGTTTCCCTAAGTATTTGTCAAGGCAACAAAGAGCTAATACAGTCTTCTCTTGGTTTGAGGGTATCACTTAAGAGTTACATGACCTTTGATAAATTACTTAGTGTCTGCCTCTGCTTTGTCACTGGAAAGACAGAAAATCTTTTCTGTTAAGACTGTTGATGGGATTAAACAAACTAATTTACAGCACTGTGCCTGGCAGGGACTAGGTGCTCAATAATATTAGAAGGAGTTAATGCATATGAAGTTAGTAACAGTGACAGCACAGGGGAAGGTAGTGGGCTGGCTTCTTGCTGTGCGAATCTTCAAATGAAACACGAGTCCCTAGTCACACTGTTTTCTGAGAGAGGACTATGGAAACCCCTTTTATACCAAGGGTGATCTAACAGCTCCAGGCACCCTGCAATCCAGATGCCCGTTGGCTTTCTAGGTAGTCTTTCTTCATCAGTTGCAGGGAAGGTGCCAGTTATTCTGCCTCTCCCCTTACAGTCGCTGACTTACTGTGCATGATCACATTTGTGACCACAGAGGTAGACTTCTGGGTACCTAAGTCTTCTCAACATTTTAAATTGGTGCATTGCAAAGGAAACCCAGGATTTGTAAGAAATCTAAGTGTCTCTAGGGTTGTTTTTCAAGCAAAAAGAACATTAGTTGGATGCAAAGCAGGACCCTTGCAAAAAATGATTATAACTGAAAAATTTGTTAAGGGAAATTCAGAATTTTTGGATCTATATAGTTCTGAAAATTCCAAACAACGATAAAGAAAACAGCAATGTCTCTATGGTTTGATCCAGATTGGGCCATTATTTTATGATTTTCTGTTTGCCATGGTTGTTTATAAGTGATGATGAAGTTCTGGTAGGTTCCAATTCAGAATATAACGCTCCCCATAGTGGGTACTTGACATGGCCCCAGCACCTACCTCTACAGAACACCAGCACCTAAATAGTAGAGAGGGGACAAGACTTTGAGGCCTGAGGAAGAAGGGTCATTGTGGGTGGAACGCAACCATTCTGTTGCTTGTAAAGATTGGACACTTGGAAAGATTCCAGGGGATGGGAGGGAATGCGAAGAGTAATCCTTCTGCCCAGTCTGTGTGTACACAGTAGGGAAACCTCTCCTCTGAGGACTACCATTCTTCTGCTAGTTCACAACCCCCGGTGCTCCGGGGCGGTGAGTGTCTGAGAGAAGTCGGTGCAGAGCTGCTCTTTCCAGTTGCCAGAGGAAGCATCACTAGGGAGGGAGGGATAACTGTCATAAGGATTTTTCTCCCCTGCCATACAATGCTGAAGCTTCTCTCCCTCTCTCTTTTTTTGAAGAAGTGCGTTTATGACTGATCGCTCAACACCTTGTTGGTTCTGATTGCAGAAAACACACCTTATAAATATATGATAACCATCCTGTAATAGGGAGTGTGACAATTTACTTCACAGTGCGTTTCGGGCTGCTAATTGATCGTTTCAGTCCAGGGACGATTTGGAATAAATTATAGCCATCAAAAGGATATCACAGCTCATTTTGGTGGAAGGGTTTCCACGTCGCTTCACGTTCATCTCCAGAAGAGGGCCGATTACACCCGGCGGGCTGGGAGGCTGGGAAGGATAGGAACCCGCGTGGAGACGGCCGGTGGGTGGAGCTTGAGCAGTGAGAGGCAGGCCCTGGGGCGGAGCCAACGTGGGGCGTGGTCGTCGTGAAGGCTGGGCCTGGCAGCGGCGGCGCACGCGCTGCAGCTCCGCTGCCGGACAGTAGAGGCCTCCCTTCCGCGGAGGCGGCGCAGGCTGCTCGGTTACCCGGCGAGGTCGGCGCGACGCCTGCCCGGCGCGAGGTTTCCCGGCCGCTGTCTCCCGCTCAGGCGGCGGCTCCGGGCCTCGGAGGTGAGCGTGGCCCCCGGGACCCTGCTTGGGGCGGGTGCTCGGGCGCGGGGCAGCCCCGCGTGTGGTCGGGGGAGCAGAGCGTCGCGGGAGGGAAGGCGGTGCGGGGCGAGCGCAGCCTCGGGGTTGCGCCGGGCCCTCAGCCGTCTCGGGACTCACCCGGGTCGGCAGGGCCGGAGCCACGGCCCCCGAACCTCGGGTGCTTGGCCCGGGCCACCCCGGGTATGAGGCCCTTGCCCCTGCCCACCGCGGGGTCGCCACCGGGCCACCCCAGCTCACGTGTGTGCGGGTCTGTGGACGGCGGAGCAGACGGACCCAAAGGCCGAGCTTCTGGATGGGGTTGGGATTGGGCAAAATTGCTGTCCTCGGCGTCTCGCGAGCGCTCGAAGGTCCCCAGCCCTGCCTAAGGGACGCTCCGCTAGAAGGAACCCCTTCCTTCTAGAAGGAAGGAGTCCCTTCAGCTCGGTTGGCTGTCCCTCAGTCGGCCAGTGTGTCCCAAACCGGCCCTCTCCTCAGGTGCTCGGTTTTGTTCTGTTGTTTTTAGTCTTCTGTCACGCTAATACAGTATGTCACTCTAGGACAGGGATGTTTCTGTGGCGACTTTGACAGCAACCATTATACCATGCTATTATGAAATGTGATATCTGTGCGTTCCGGAAAGACCGATAATACATAAACCAGTTCTTGTCACAGTATCCCATAAGGAAACATCTGAGGCTATCGGTAAAAGGCATTTTAATTCACACACTTAAAATATTTCGTGCTTGGTTGACATCTTTCAAAATGTTGAACGAAATAGGAACATTTACCATTTTGTACATATTTATCAAAGTACTTACAACAGCCCCTGTAGGAAGGAGGAAGGTGCCTTCTTGTTTTATCGTTCTTAAGAAGTAAGGCAGGCAGGTGTTATGTGACCTCTAAATAGTCCACAGTAAGTTAAAGAGAGTTCTAGGAGACCAAGTGTTCCCTAAAACTGGAGTAATTGGAAAACTCAAACTCAGATGTGAATGTTTTGGGTTTGCCATGTGGTTGTCAGGGTTGTATTTCCATGGACCAAATCCTGGGAAATGTCAATTGTGGAGTTACTTTTACAAGTGAACCCCATGAGCACTGACCACAGTAGAGTTTTCTTTTCCTCCATTTAAGCCGTTCTTTGTTATTGATTTTTGATCATCACAGGTACTGTGTTCAACTTCGCCAATGTGCAAGATCACTATAAACATTTAATAATTGTTAAAATGTAACATTATTTCCTGGTTATAAAAAACCCAAGGAATTAAGGAGCTAAAAACTGTGATTTTTAAAAAATTTATACCAATGGCAAATCTATGCTGACCAAGGAAATAAAATATGTTAGGAATCAGAGAACTTTCTGCAGCTTATCCCCTCACAACCATGAGTTTTGCTTCCTCAAACTTTGTAAACAAAGTTTAAAAGGCTTACATGATTTAAGAGCATCTAAGACTCATTTAACTATTTTAGAATGCAGTTTTCCTAATGCTTTTGTTCTTTATGTGGTGTGCTGGACTGCTCAGTTACACATCACTGGAAGCTCTAACTTTTAGTTAAAATTGAAGCCACTTACCTTTGTTTTTAACACCAACTCAAAATAAAAATTGCACACAATCAAATCATGCAAACAAAACACATCCCAATAGTCATGCACACATCAGTTTAAGGTCAACTGGTTTAACAGAAATGGAAAACATACTCAGTACATTTGCTCCAATGATTGGTGGTTACACTTTCTCTTGGATAAGGCTTGAAATCATTCTAAACAGCAACTTCATCCTTGAATATTAAAACATTTTGTATGAAATCTGAAAGGTGAACTTAATATAAAGTTGTTAAATCCAATAATGAAAGAAGTTAGTAATAATTTTATTCCTAACTCTAACACTGTGGTATACTGATGAAATTCTATAACCAAGATATGACTGTAAACTAATGTCTGTATTTCAACAACTATACCAGAACCTATACACATAGTTTGATGTGTTCTTATTCAACTAGCTATCTTGGAAGCTTGTCACTCAAACATCTTTTGCAGCTCTTTATTAGGTACTGTTTATTTTGTGCCCATAGCACATCTTATTTTTAAAAACTTTGAAAAGTCATATCTTCCTTTAGTTCTTGAAGGAGAAGTATATGACCAAACCAGAGTAGTATCATTTGAGTTCAAAACAAACTGAAAGACAATTGGATTGCCTTCTTGGGCAGCTTTTAAATTAGTTCTACAGTTAGTTTACCAATATAGTTTGAAGAATGGCATCATCATTGGAATAAGAGTAGTTACCAAGGGACAGTTTGAAGAGAAGTACTCATTTGGAATTATAAATTGTCTTTAATTGTCAATGAATTATTCATTTAGGAGTCATGTACCTGTATAGCAGTACATTGGTATATGCTGTGGAGACAGATTGCTTCAGAAAGCTATAGTATGAAGAATTTGCCTGGACCAGATGTATTACACCTTTAATCCTAGCACCTTGGAGGCAGAGGCAGTGGATTTGTGTGAGGTTGGTCTACATAGTGAGTTCCTGAATAGTGAGGTAATAAGAGCCTGTCTAAAAATAATAATAAAATAAATACATGAGATTTTCGGTTGGATTTTCATGAGTGTTTGTGATTCTGGCTTGATTTTTAAAACTTTATAATAAGTAGTTGGATTTTTTTTAAAAGGTTACGATCTCATAGGTAAAATAGGATTGGATAAATTTAGGATTTATAAACTATAAAAGAACAGAAGTTAAAATATCCTTAGCTATCCTTAGACTACAAGTGAGTCTAAATTGTGAGCTAAACCATTCATAATTTTTAATTTTGTTTCAACATAAACCATAAAGTACATAGGTAGTAATCATTATGTTTTATAAATAATATCATCTTACCTACTACAAAATCCACAGAAGTCTAAAACTCCTAACCTACTGAGTTTAAACCCTTGGGATAGTCAAGACCAGAATGTGGTAGAAGGGATAGAAGATAGCAGAGGAAGAGGGAGTCTGTGGGGAGGAAAAGACACAGGTGATAGAACAGTTTTGAAGTTGTTTAATTCTTTTGAAGGAAGGACTTGCTCTCCTAAATCTCAGGGAAAAAATTTAGAAGTTGTATATATAGTTCATAGCTAACTCCAACTGAGACTAGAGAGCCAAGAAAAGCATAAAAATCTAATTAGAAGAAAAAATATATAACTGGTGAGTAAGAATTTTAACCAGTGTTCAAGTCTAATTAATACAAATACCAGTGTCTTAGTTTCTGTTCTATTGCTGTGGTGAAACACCATGACCAAGGCAACTTACAAAGGGAAGCATTAAATTAGGGGCTCCCTTGCAAGTTATAGGTTAGTTCATGATCCTCTTGGTGGGAGGTATGGTGGTGGGCCAGCAGGCATGGCACTGGAGCAGTAGCAGATAGCTTACATCTGATCAGCAAGTTGCAGGTGCATACACCCCCCGCCACCCCCCCACACTACACATACAGGGAGGGTGATAGTAACTGGGCCTGGCTTGAACTTTGAAACCTGAAAGCCTCCTCTCACCCTGTGACACACCTCCTTCAACAAGGCCACGCCTCCTAATCCTTCCCAAACAGTTCCATCAACTATGGACCAAGTATTCAGACATATGAGCCTATGGGGAAGGGGGGGCATTGTCATTCAAACCACCATACCCAGTGATCAAGAAAGGACAAGGGAGCCAGACAAAGATGAAGGAGCTTTTCTGTTTAAACATCGTGTTACAAATGTGGATGCTCAAGCACCTAGGAAGTCAGCCAACAGAGAAAGAAACTCACAACAGTTTCAAAAGAACAAGTAAGTTCCCCCTCTTTCCCCCAAATCAGATTGGATCTGAAGATTAACCAATATGAATTAGACAAAAATGAGGTCCCTATTGCAGCTTCATATGAAATCTTGAACTTGTATTCATGTCTGCTATGATACACTTTGTTGTGGACATACACTATTCCAGCCCACATGGCAGGGCTGGGTACCTAATAGGCTAGTGAACGAGGTAAAGAGGTGCAACTCCAGATTTTTTTCTGTGGAAAGACCATGTGCTGTTTGCCCATTAGGAAAACAAAGCAGCCTTTATTAGCAGCACAGGGAAGCATTAGAACCTCCCAACCCCTGCTATGTGAGTAGTGGGAAAATACTCGAAGTGATTTTAGCCTTTCTTTTCAGGAACCCTGACCACTATGTCTGCCTCTTTCCAGATTTGAGTCAACTGGATGCTTTTAAATATTAAAGTTCATAGTTTCTATAGCTTCACAGTAAGGTAAGTGGTGAGATGATAAATAAAGAAGTTAGTGACTTAAAGTTTACAAGAATTCACAAGTAGCTCTTAAATATATAGAATAGGCAAGTCCTAAGAATTGCAAAATACCAGGTAGAAGAAAGTCCGGGCTCAGCAATGGAGACCAGGCTTAGCATGTCCCACTTCTAATAGTTGAGACATATTTTAACTTTCCTGAAAGATAGTCCGTTCCTCTTGTGGGTGTATAGAATTTTGTGTGGTGAAACACAGGCTTTGTAAGTTGAGGTAAAGCTTGTTGACTTCAATCTGTCAGGTATTTGAAACAAACTATACATGATGGTGACAGAGTGGTCTGAGGACCATGGGAGAACAGCGATCTCCTTAAGGACTAGACAGACAGGTGACTAATACAACACAGTCACTGCCCTTCCTTCCTCAGATTCCTAACTACCTCGTCATATTGAGAGGTCATTGACTTTTTGTTTGTTTGTTTTTTGTACATTTCATAAAGACCTGCATGTGTAAGGAAATGGAATAGCTTCCTTAAGAGCCCAGGTCCAGACCTTCGGCAGTAAGTGCTGAAGAGGCAGTCCTGGAAAAAGCTGTGCAGGTCTCTAGATCTTGTCTTTGTATTGTCAAAGTTTCTTTTCCTCAACAGCTCTTTGAAGCCCATGGGCACATCCATGATGTGGAGAGCAAGAGACTGGCTTGAGTCCTACACACTGCCTCACGGGACCGAGTAAC